AAAACCTTCTTAATTCAGTGAAGCCAAATCCCTAAATACTGAGTACTTTTCATTTACCGGTAAGCCTGCATTTTTGAAAGAATTGTATCAGTGGTCATATATTAACACCTTTGTCTTTTGTTGTAATATCTCAGGTAAATCTAAAGCAATGTTTTGAGTACGATATATACTGAATAAAGTTCTGTATTAAAAAAATATCAGACATTTTTCGGCCGTAACGGGCCTCAAACTCTCTTATATTTGTTAATACAGAACTGTATTCGGCATATATCCAATACATAAATTGGCATCAACATCAAAATGATGAATATGACTGTTTAAACAATTTGCTCAAATAAATGAAAACGCATGACATGGAAAGTTTTAGTGAATTCATAACCATCATCTCAAAAATCAAAGAAAACACACTTGTTAAAAGAACTTAACATTATATTAATGTCAGTCCTATTTACAAATGAACATTTAAAGGAAGTTTTCGCGTGTGTATGACTCTCGTTAGATTTCTAAGGAGACACATGACCTTCCATTATTCTTGGAGTGATAATTTTTAAAGATTGGTGAACACTTTTAAGTGAAATTGAATTGAATTGAATAGATGGATACAGCAATCTTAAAATCCTTCCTGTTGATACACTGTATGATCAACATAAAGAGCTACAAGAAACTTATATTTTCGCAAATCGTAAAATATTTAATATTTTTGTTTATATTAAGGACCGTCCGATTTACATGCATTTGTAGAGGTAACACTTAAAGAATGAAAATTTTATACCAAAAGCGAAAAAAGAAATTAGGTCTTCTAATAACAAATTTAAAGTGATTATATATTTATATAATACAAGTACGTGGGTATGCATATATAAAGAAATTAACTTTAGTTAAATAGCTGTCTTAAAACACTATCTTTGAAAATATATCAGTGTACGGAAAAAAATTTGTGTAGGAAAGAAACTCAAAGCCTTCTTCTTTGAAGATCAATTAAATCAATAGAAATTTTCATTCGTTATGAATTTAATTGGTATAATTACGTTGCTAAATTGTGTATCAAGAAACAAGAAAGGTCAATATTTCTCACTTCTTTTCTCACTCTCTTTAGTATCCTCAATTTTTTGCTTTACAAAAGGGAAATAGGAAGCAACGATGAATGTGCAGATGCGTGTTTTTGGATTGTTACCTCTTTTAAGTAAGTAAACAAATTTCGCTTTCAATATGATTTGAAGATTAAGAAAAAAATAACATATATAGTCAAAAATGTGAACCAACAGTTGTGCTACATATTTACGTATTTAATAGCTTAGCTAAATACTAGGTCGAACAAGAAACAAACATTACATATGTTACAACAAACATGTAAACATGTACCGATAATAACTGCATAGGTACGGAAGCCCATTAGTGCCAACCTCTATATATAAAGGAAATGCTATACATAAAAGCAAACCTCGATATAAAGGTAATACAATATATATAAACAAAACCTGGATATATATAAAGGAAATGCGATATATATAAACGAAACCTGAATATATATAAAGGAAATGTGATATATATAAACTAAACCTCGATATATAAAAAGAGAAAAGCGATATATATAAACAAAACCTCGATATATATAAAGAGAAATGCGATATATATAAAGAGAAAATTTTCCACTGCGTGACCTGTAGCACTCAGCTGTCCATCAAGATTATATACAGATTAACTCCTGGCAGGGGGAAATCAGTTATACAGTACTCAGAACTTTCCCAGAATCGGAAAAATGTTGCTATTTAATAGTGCTTATTTGTTTGCACATGCATATATCAACATTACTTAAAATAATGCACTTAATTGAGAAGAAGAGCATTTAATTAAATGCATTCATAATTAAGTATATGCGGTACATTAAAAGTTTAAATCTAAAGTTTAAACTTATCTAGATAGTTACAGATAAGTTTAAACTTTAGATTTAAACTTTTAATGTAACATATGTATCGTATTTCCTGTGTTTTATTGGCTTTACATGTATTTTGATTAACTTCGTTTTTTTTACAACCTACCTTGTTTTTTTTTTTACCAAACTTACTAACTTTGGTTTCACAATCGAGAATTTATGAAAATATAATGTTAAACGTGGGGTCTTAACAAGAACTTTTTTAATGCCCTAATTCAAATTTATTTAAATACATTATAAAAATAATTTACGAGTACGCCCATTGATTGAAAAGAAAAGAAAAAAAGAATCGGAATGGGAGAGAGGGGAGAGATGAAGGTACCCAATTCATTTGAATATGAGGGAAGGAAGCGACATGTACTTTTACCGTATATGTAATAACTTAAGGGTCTTTTGGTGTGAAAAAATAAAGTATTTGTTAATAGATAAAAAGAAACGAGTCAGTGCATGCATATTTACATATTAAACTGCGGACTTTTGTCCCACATCGTAATTTAAATCGATTTTAAAATCTACATCATGTAAAAACATAGTAAAACGTTAAAGAACATATAAAAAATGATAAAACACATTTGTATTTTTGCACCGAATTATATTTCGATTGAAAAAGACTCCCAACATTTAGTGCTATGTAATAAACATTTTAAGCCGAAAAGTCACTCATTGGTGTAATTCTGCCCAACACGTCTGAAATGTAAGTAGAACAGAGTGTTTAAGCTTTAGATTTAATTGTCATAATCATCAAGATACACAAAGGAAGAAAACACAACACGCTGAATACCATCCTGAAACAGCCACACCAACTGATTGAAATCAAAACATTGGACCGGGAGCTGTTTATCATATGTTGGCGATGTAATGTAGGTCATTAAACATGGTCAGGCAGTGGAAATTTTTCTCTTTATGTATATCGAAGTTTTGTTTATATATATATCGCATTTCCTTTATATATATCGAGGTTTTCTTTATATATATCGCATTTCCTTTATATATATCGAGGTTTTCTTTACATATATCGAGGTTTTCTTTATATATATCGCATTTTCTTTATATATAGAGGTTTGCTTTTATATATCGCTTTTCCTTTATATATACTGGTTGGCACTAATGGGCTTCCGTACATAGGTATTAAAAATACATATGTATGGTTACAAGTAGGTATTTTATGGAATATATACGAGGGTTGTCCGTAAAGTTCGTGGACAACATTGATAATTACTGACAAACATTGACAAAATATTTGAAACTATTATTTTCATTAAATTCATGTTTTATTTCATAAATATGCAAGTTTTCAACAAAAACAAAGCACAAATAGTTATATTTTTATCAGATACAAAAAAGACACACACTCATACCCGGAGCACTAAAACGAAAATTCTTGACGTTACCGACGTCAAAAGCTAAATACGAGCACTAGTAACTTTTCTCAACATAGTCAGGGTTTAACTCAGTACATTTCTTATGTCGTTTTGACCAGTCATAAAATATGCACAAAATGTTCAAGTTTCATTCTTAATATAATATTTAGCAATTCCTGTCTCATATCCTGCAATCATCCAACCACTGTCCGTGTAAAGACGATTTCATTTACGGAAATACGGCATGATCACGTTAGGAGATTCATATTTTACAGCACTACTATCTCGGAATAATGGTTTTCCTTCACGCATGTCATCCTGTAAACTGTTCATTCCGTCCGAAAATATTATATGCCACTTAAACACTGGTGGACAACTTGTTTTACTATGCTTTCCCGATTGTTTACAATTTGTATTGGTCTCTGTAGGTGTTTTTCCGATGTCAACGCAGAATTTTATCACTGTTCACTGCTCCACCTATTCCGAAAACGTCTCTTTTTTGAACGATTCCGATCCTGTCCTAATATGTTCTAACGCTGATTGCTCAGCCATTTTGCAACTTTGAACGTTCAAATTTTGCAGGTTTTATGTGATAACTTCTGTCAACCTCATAATGTAAAATTCTTTCAGATTTCCTTAGAATTTTTAAAAATACAAATGAAATTTAAAAAGTGATAAATATTTTTTTAATTAAAATTTTGCGGTTCTCCGGGTCTCCATTTCAAGTCTAATTATGAAGCCATATTTGTAATTAAACATTTGAAAATGAATAAATTTTTACATTAATCAATTCACATTAAGTAAAGGATTAGAAATATGCCAATAATAAATACCAATGACACAACTTTTATTAAATTTTTGGCTTGTCCACGAACTTTACGGACAACCCTCGTATGTCACGTAAATTAATTTAAACTGACGGTTTTCAACAATTTTTGCTTCATAAAAAACAAAAACCAAAAAAAAAATGTTATACTAGTATTCTAAATTCACAATTTCAACTGAACATATATTCATCAAAAAAATAAATCAAAACATTTTTTATATTAGATGAGCTCGCATGCGCGAGTGCTACAGACTTTGATGAAGTGTATACAGTATACACATCAGTCTCTAGCTCGATTTCATATCTCTATCATTCTACAAAAGAAAAAGAATCATTTAAAGTGACAACATAAAAATAATCAAAACATATGCACTTAAAGTTCATAAACCCGCTGCTCACTCATATAAAATGTTGCTTGAACCTTAATGATATTCCAAGAGAAATGTATTTTATAAGCACATTACTGACAATTATAGCATAGCTTGCGGGGCAAAATTGGACAAAAAAGGCACTTCAACCTGGGTAATATATAAAGGGAATAATAGACATTTATGTCATTAAGAGTTATCTCTCTTATCAGAGTATCAATGACCCTTAATAGAGAGGAGGGATGGGTGGTTAATTAATCTGTTGCATTGCAGCATCGAACTTCACAAAACTAAAACTCACAAAAATCTACCTTATACTCAGTGTACGTGACTGAAGATACTTCTTGTATGTATCTAAAATAGATATTCATGTATAAAATAACTGTAATTGACAAACTTTTGGAATATGTATGCATCTAAAAACAGATTGTCATGTATAAAACTACTGTAATTGACAAACTTTTGAAATAAACAATCGATTATCTTTTTTATTTCAAAAAGGTTTCTGTAAGATGAACAACATCAGAAAGCCATTTATCAGTGACTGGCATCAATTATCTGTCAATGATTTAAGTCCATTACCCATTCCTCATAGTCTGAATGAACTACCAGCAAAGGTTGATGTCCAAGTCAAAATAACCCATAGCGGAAAAGAATACATATTTCCAGGACTTGGATCGGTTCCAAAAGATGACGATATACCTACTGAGTATGGTGGAGTGGCGTATGCATACAACTCATCACATGTCCTGCTGTTTGTTCCTGTCATTAAATCGAGTTTTGGCGGAGGTATAGGGCGAGTTATAACTACAGGTTAATATATTTTAGTTAAGATGCACTTTAAGGTTTTTAAAATCTCCTATATTGTTTTTCTGTTTCTGAACTATTAGCATGTATTTTAACATAACCTATTTCGTGGAAATGGTTATTTTCTTATATCCACAAACAAACTTAAAGCGGCAATACGGCTGCAAATCGTGTCCTTTTTCATTCAAATTTTCCCAATATATCATTCAAGAATAAGGTAAAAATTAAAGTTGAAGTAAGCATTTTGAGAAAAATAAATATTCTCCCCTCATAAAAGATTAACGTAATTAGAATCTGCCGGAAAATCAAGGGTCGTACAACTTCGATCTCTTAACTCTCCGGTAATTTAATAATAATTAACATTTGAGTCTGCATTCAGACGAATTTAACATGACTAAATACAAATGTTGACGTTTTGTGTATTGGGGTGCAGGAAAGGAAAATCCACCAAATCATACGTCATCGCGGCAAAATGTCAAACAAAATATCTTTCTGCAGTTCTAATACAACTTGCACTTCAAATGACTATAATTTTTATATGTCATAAGTGCATTTTTATTTTTTTTTATTTTTTTTTTGAAAGCTATGGAGATACGAGAAAAGATAGCATGTATCAACAAACCTGTAGGGTAGAACCTTCGCGAGCCCCACGTGAACGTAGCAGAGGTCCCGTTTCTTCTTCATCCAATAATTATATTAATCTCCCAACTAAATTTTTGTCAGGAAAGTTGTTTTTTAATTTCAATCCCTATTTTTGGTTTTGATTTTCGTTTTGATCGACTTTGTCAATGTAGCAGGCCTACCGGGCTTCCCTCTCTTACCATGCTGTTTTGTTTATGAAAACTATACGCATGCGTCATGTGCGTGTATGGCATGGAATGTGGAACCTCGAACACGTTGCGATGTATATATTTATGTACCATAAATAATGATTAATTTTAAAGAAATAATCAGAATTATTTACTTATAAGATTTGTAATTTTCTGAAAGTGTATATATCTATGAGTATGAAAAAAATTCCAAATCCTATAGGAAAATTTTAACAAGTCTGTTTTTGAAGAGATGCGTGATATTGCCACTTTAAAATTACACATATATTTTTTTATTCACCTCTTCGCAACCCCCCACCCCCCCTCCCCCCACTCCCCCCAATTAAATCCCTAAATTCAATATCTTTTCTTCAAACCTCGAAAATTATCATCCAGTAAAAGATATCACATTTCAGTGGCATGCTTATAGGGAAGCGCAGGGGAATTTAATTTTGATTCGTTATAAATGTAATACGTTATATCCATTAAGATTTCAATAAACTTAATAAGCACAGGAATTGAAAATAAACTTAATAAGCACAGGAATTGAAAATTACGTAGCAGTAAGTTTGAACTCAACAAAATCGTCTTCTCTAAAATCGTGTACATGTTTTACTATATTTCTACTGAATAATATATAATCATCTTCTTGATAAAATTATGTTTCCAGAGATTGTTTATAGGCTTGATAACAATTTAAAGCACATAAAATATATTAAATATTGTAGGTAGTGACTCATATAATGGCCCCTTTGTTGGATCTGCTAGCACCTGTAAGGTACGCATAAGGGCTTGGGGGCTATCCGACTGGCCAAAACCTGACTTTAGTATTACTGCCGGACTGACGATCTCTACAGGTAGGTAGGAAGGCATTGTGTGAGCATGGTGTTTAAAACTTCAAAACCGGTCAAATTTCGGTTTTCCTAATTTTTGTTTATTTTTTCTTGAAATAAAACTTTCATGGTTTCCATTCTGCAGCACGGTTAAGGTTATAAAAAGGGAGCGGAGCCTAATTTGTACTGGAAAACATAACTATGACATCATATAAAACCAACAATTCTTAGAATACCACAAAATGAGTGATTTTCTATTTTAACACGTAGGAAACTAATTAACAACATCAAAACTTTGTTAGTAAAATCCCACATAACAAGTCATAAACAAGTCACTGATCGTAATCCACTTATCGATTTGACGTCATTTCGTATAAAACATGACGTACTTTGTATGCAGTGAGAGGCAGATCAAGTCATATTTTCTCAACAAAAAATGTATTCTATAATTAAATAAAATATTATTTTCAGTAATTCTATAGGCTATTAAATTGGGTTCAATGTCTTCCTTACCATTTTATTAATATATTATCTGTATATTTTGTATTTAATGAAAACTGCCGTATATTTGTATGCAAGTACATCAGAGGGTAATGTTTGGGTCTAAATAAAGCTTTTAAAAATCAACTCTAGAAGTATGAAGGTATCTGAAAAATGCTGCAATCTTGATGAAATCTTGAAAATGATTTAATTAAATCATTATAATTATTTAATTATATCATGCTGTTGACCAGCAAAAAATACAGCATTCGGTCAAACAAATATGATTTTGACAATGAAATTGCAAAATCTAGATAGGATCGCAGGACTTTTCAGAAACTACAATGCGTGTTGAAAATATTTATAAACAAAATCTAGAATTTAACTTGGTTTTGCCTTTGCACTAGAGAAATTTATAGGTAACCCCATTACTGCATGTAAATTTGCTAAAATCACACGACTGCCGCATCACGTGAAAAGATTCAATATAAAATCTGATCGTCTGCAATATGTAGTTATTAACCATTATTACATTTATCAGATATAAATAATGTACTTAAAGTAATCGCCATCCCGATTATGAATTCAATTTACTAGTACAAAATAATGTCTATATTTACATTGCGCACCTTGAATGTACTGCGTTGTACATTCAGAATTTTTAAAAGAAAAGTTATAAGCTGGATATTTCATTTCCAAACATAGACCTAAATCCAAGAGGAATTCTGTAAGAAATAATTTGCACACTTGCAAAATATATTGTAAGTTTATTTTTTCTTTGAATTGTTTACGGATGTTTCCGGTTGCACAATGAAGACAAGGAGCAAACTCTAGGGGTGACTTGTCAGGAGGGGATGGTTACTCCTCCATGGCACCTTTTCCTGACTCGTATATTTTAAAATGTCCGTGTTTTAAGCTTAGGTATCGTACGTGTTTTTCACTTTTTATTTGAAAAACATCTTTCACAAACATAAGTTTCAAAGATGAAATATGGAGAAAACGACATACAATACAGATCAGAATAAAGTAAATAAGTAACAAAGTCAAATGTTATGACATAACCAAAAATGAAAGATATACAATCTTCATGAAAGCCTTAATTTGCAAATGTAATATCTATGCAAATTTATCATTTATTTGACAAATATAGCTTTTTTAATGAGATCGACTTCTCAGAAAAGTAAATCTACCAAACAAAAAGTACATCTTAATCATTCTCATTTTCTTTATAAATGAAAGATATCTTTACTTTTTTGTTATATGTCTTTACAAGTATTGAATCATAAAGTATGTCTTTTTTAGCAAGTCCATACAAAAAGGTACACCATTGCTTGGGAACCTATCCAGACTTCGTAACAGTCCAGCTCTTAATGCCGGGAGGACTTGTTTCAGAGGGTCTAAGTAAGTTTAATTATTGCTTTATTTATTATTAACAGTTTCAAAGGGTCTACGTAGATTGTACTTTATTTTTGCTTTATTTATTAATAACAGTTTTAGAGGGTCAATGTAGGTTGTTTTACTTTTCCTTTTTCATCATTTACAGTTGAAGAGGGTCTAACTAGTTTTACTATAATTGCTTTATTCATAATTAGCAGTTTCAGAGGGTCTAAGTACATGTATGTAGGTTTTACCATTGCTTTTGTTTATCATTAAAATTTTTATGAGTTTTTTTTTATTGCTTTACTATTCTGTAAAAGTAAAATATTGTTATTTTGTAGATGGAATAAAATGTGATTTGTTCCGATTTTGAAAGAATTCAATTTTTTGATAACGATGTATTGTAATAATGATATCAATTTTCTGTTATAAGATAGATAGATAGAGTAAATAAGCCACCCTGACATGCAAAAACTGATAAAGATTTTTCAAAAAGAATGATGTTCAAATCAATGTTTTGATGTTTTCAACATCATAATCACTAAGCTTTAACGTTCAAACTCCTCAATAACCTTATAGTAGTTATACTAGCTTAATAACGGAAGATTTAAATTCCTTAAATAATGATTTTTATTATTCGTTTATTTTTGATAACTAGAACTCAAAATTCATTCAAATTCTTATCTTCACTTGATTGATATTTCAATAATTTATGAAAAGTATTGAAACAATTAGATTTTTTTTATCATTATTAATATTTAATTTTTGTATTACATGTACCACACCAATCACGGTTGATCATGATCATGATAGAGGAATAAGTGCATGCGGGACGGTATTTGGAATAGACGATGCAGCAATTACTTTGTGGGCAGCAAGCGAACACAGTACGTTAAAGTGGTAGAAGAATAAATTATTTAATTCATATAGTTTATATTGTTCACTGGATAAAAAAACATTGAGTTACGGTTATTTATATATTTTGTTGAAATTCTTGTATTCTAACATTTACCGTGTAAATGTTGTTTGTTAATGTTTGTTTCATGTTCTCTTTATCAACTCCTCAATTAAGAAATCATCCCTGTTGTCAGTCTTAAATTGTAGAAAATAAGTTAAGTCTTAGGATATCTCAACAGTTTATGCTTTGAATGGTTTCACTTATAAGTAATAATAAAAAGGAGATATGTACATTACATAATACGTATAAAAAACAGAAGCCTGTGTTTTCTTTTTAGATGACTATGTATCATGCTTCAGAGACGGGTGGGGGGACTTTCCTGAAATCGTTGCTGACACTGCTGACGTCATTATCCGAGCTTGGATGCTTTCGTCATCAGATATACTGAACACTAATAACTTTAGTTATGTCAAAGGTGACGCTGTGCCTTGGGCAGGAGTGATATCTATGACAAACGCAATTGACCTAGACTTTCACATAGTCAATGTTGAGGTAAAAGATCATATTGCTGCTTCTTTTGGTTTATAACATACATGATTAAAGACAGATAATATAAAATATTGCAAACGATGCAAATAATACATTTTTAAATTAAAACGACATTGTAAACCATAAATGATGCTCAACGTTCTACCTTACTGCAGACATCCTTATTTTTCTGTATTATTTTTTCTCTCCAAATGCCGTTATTATGAATCTTTGAAGAAAAAATTAAAAAATACGTAGTAAAACTTTTTAATTTTACGCATAAATGTAATAACACGACACTTTGGTTTTTTTTTTTTTTTTTTTTTTGCAAGTCTTAATTTTTTTTTGTATCATCTGTCTTCAAACAAAAACCATTGAATACCACAAATTGATATCATGGAGTATTCATCAGTCGCTTCAAACTTTGTAAATGATTTTATGAACACTAGCACATAAAATCTAACAGAATTGTCTGATATAATTGATTGGATGCCTAATTAAAGCTTGCATAAAATGACAATATACAGATCAGAGACGACACAGTCAGCAACGGGAAATTATTTTACGGAGCTGGATCTGCCAATATGGGTAACTTAGGGGAGCCTTACGGGGGCGTGGTTTTTGGTTACACACAATCAGATGCCCTTTTATGGACACCCAGCACTAGTGTGACGGGGGGGGAATCTTATCTACATTGGCGGCTTATGGGGAAATGGAACAGAGAATATGCAGATCAACAAAGTTGAGATAACAGTCAAAGTTATTAAGGCTGGGTTTACAGGTCAGCAGTTTAATTTAAGAAATATAGTATATCACACCACTGTTTTAATCTCGTCCCTGGTATCAGCCCGAGAGGTTGGTATCGGCCAATGCCCGGAGGGCGCGGGCCGAGACCATCCGGGGGCTGACATTAGGGACGAGATCAAAACAGTGGTGTGATGTTGTTTATATCATATATCTAAAACCAGGCCAATAACATAACAAAATGTTTAGATTTTTTTAATCTAAGAGTTTTATATCATTTTGTCGTACGAAAATTAGACTTCGCTTTCTTTATTTCGATGTTTCGTGAAGATGTTGCTTGACGGTAAAATTGAAAAATCATAAAAAGAAAGATATATGGTCATTAAAAAGAATAATTCTTGTGTATTGTAACATTTCATTTCGATGCACATTGGATAACAAGAAATTGAAAGGTCCCAAACTTAAAAATCTTTTAAAGCTGTTCTACGTTTACTTTCGATATAACCGGGATTACATCTCTTTCAACGAATTGTTACAACTTGTAAGTCCCATATTTATAGTAACTGTTTGTTTTGCTTACGATATATATTAAATTAAAAATGACAAATTAAATGAAAAACTTTGTATTGTCTAATGTCAAAACAAATAGATTTTCTTCTTTTCAAAACACGATTTGTTGCTGCACCTCGCTAACGTCACAAGTATCATCATTTTGCACACTTTTTAAAAACAATTATTTTAATATTCTAGCATAAATGCATAATTTTTTAAGCTTCTAGTCCATGTTTTCGATGTAAAATATCCCTCTTTTATACTTGAATATAAATTTTGCTCTTCATTCACCAAAATTAAACAGAAATTATAATAATTAGAAATTTGACAGCGAGGGAGCCCCCTAACAACGGGCCGAGACAAAGATATCTCAGCCCCGGGGGCGAGACAGCCCTAGTTCTCGCCTAGTCCAAAACGCCTATATCAGGGATGATATACTACTAGGTTTATGATATTAAATTATATCTTCAATAAACTGTCTTTATTAGCCATTACCATATACTTTTGATGATACAATACTGAATGGTTTGATAAAAGTAAATGACTAGGCATAATAATGCAAAGTATACCAATATTTACATAACTGGATATCCTAAAATCCTCACAAAATTTCTACAATTTGAAGAACTATTAATTTTAGTACAAAATCTTCTTTGTCTTTCAGAATGTCCATTGCCTCAAGATATTCCGAATACAATCAAAATGTATGATGGACTGATAGCCGGATGTAAGGCTTTATATGCTTGTATACCTGGTTATACCAGTAATGGAACCTCAGTTGAGAGTTTGTGCAATGGAACATCATGGTCCGATACTAGATTATCCTGTATGGGTGTGTAGTTACGTCATGTTTTAAAACAATATACATGTATATTAAACAATCATACCGATTTTGTTATTAATGTAGAAATAGTGAGATTAATCAGAGGACCGTGTACATCTTTGTGTATGTGTAGCTAGAGAAATCCCTTGATTTTCTGCGATTTACGTCATCAGTTTTGCATACCGCGTAATACTATAAGTTGTACATTTATTTCGTATGCACGCCTTGCTTTTGTATATATGTTGTGCAAAGTTTAAGATTTCGAAGTAGGGCGTTAAATATAAACAATTAATCCGACATAAAAGTTTTCTATGGATGTTCATTATATTAGGAAAAAAAAAATGAAAAAAACAAAAAACAAAAAAAAAACAACAATAAAAACAAAAACCAAAAAAAAAAAAAAAAAAAAGAAAAAAAAAATGAAAGGTTTTTTTTTCTTATGTTGACCTGGGTTGAGTTTTTAATAATGAAATTTTTTGCTGTATTTTTATCTGATCAAATCTTTTCAACATTTTTTTATAACTAATAAGAAGCATGAAATATTTGGTTCTTGAAGAGAAAAAAAATCTTCCTTCTTAGGCCTTCTGATGCCTTTTAAATTGTATTTAATTTATTTGCCTGATTAAGTCTTCGTTTCGTTTCTTACGGATTCTAAATATAATGTCAAACTGCTGATTAAGCAAATTGTTTTTTTTTTCTTTCATGATGCCTTTTCTTTTCAAAGTTATTTTCCCAAATGAAAATATGAGAATAAAATTGTAAAGTTTTCTTTAAAAATGGTAATATTTTAACTTAAGGTACATTTCCACCCTCACAATTTAAATGGTTCAAAGTACAAAAAATGCATTTATTTTCATTTAACATAGTTTAAAGTTACTAATTATTGCCAAAAATCTATAGGTCGCCATTTAATTTAGGGAAGGAGACGAAGATAAACAGAAGTGTATGTCAACATAAAGAAACTTTACATTTTTTTTAAAAAAATTATGATACAAATTATGTTAAAACTGGTTCAAAGGCATAATTCTGATACTGAAAGTTCCAATATACTTGCTACTTCTAAGATACTAGTGAATTGTAAATACCAGGAAAACTTTTTTTCATAGGAAGTACAATAAAGAAAATGTTTGAATAAAGATAACTGAGAAGGATTTATTGTCCTTGTCAATATTTTTAAAGATGAAATAACTGATTAAAAAAGAAAATAACCGTTTTTAAAATTCTTTTACCTAACAATATTTATTTTTGAGCCTTATCATAAAAAAAATTGTTCTACTTGTCATGAATTTAGATCAATAACATGTTTTTAAAAAAACCTATGACATCATAGGGGTTAGAAATACCTTAATTAGAACAATAAAATGAACATCTGTCAATCAAGCTAAATGAAGACTTTAATTACTGTTTAAAATGAAAAAAATACATATCAGTGTTGGATAAACATTTATTTATATTGTACGTTGTTCATTCTCCTTTCACAGCAACTACAACTTTAGCAGCAACAGACTACACAAGTGTCATGCCTTCAACTGCTCAATCACAATCAACCGTAACACCAGATACGAAATTATCAACCGAAACACCAGGCACGAAATTATCAACCGGAACACCAGATACGAATAGCATCAAGGAATTCGATACCATCATAGCTGACCTCAAAGTACCGAAAGTGAACACCAGCGCTTTTAGAAGAAGTTTAATCTGTGCGTATGATCCACGTGAGAGTTCTATGGCTATAGGAAGCGTTGGAGTCTCTGTTATTTGTATTGTCGTTGGACTCATTTTTATTGTAGATTGCTGCAATTGTTTAAGGGACAAAATGGGATAATGCAAATATATATTATATTCTTGATTGTCTATTATTTAAGTTTTTGAAGAAATTCATACATATGCTGAAAGTATTAGCGTTTCAAATTTATGTGTCGACAATACCATCAAATAAATTTTTGCTCAATTTATTCCCATTCATATTTTGAAAGAAATCTTTTAAGTTTTCAGTTCTGGGAATATTGACATAGGGGTTATGGGGTGATATATGTCGACTTGGAACGTTGAAGAAACCTAGAAGAAAACCGGAGCAGCTTCTTTAACTTTCCTTTACTCTGATTTGTATTGTTTAGATTTTTTGTAATAAAGAACATTTGAACATTTGATTAAGTTAAATATCTTTACTTGTTCTGTAAAAAGAACATGGTTTACAGTCTTGAACTTGAACCAGGATCATGAAACAGACTCAGACTAAATTCAAAATTTTTATTATATGTAAAATGTTTATGAGTTTATGAATTAATCTCAAAATTTTAAGTTATAATGTATTCGTGAATTGATTTTGAAATATCGTTTAATTTTGGTCTGCTTGACTTGCTCAACATTTACAAGTGTGTAAAACATCAATTTTTTTTTACTTAAGCATCAAATGTTACATGAACATTGTCCCCGCTTCCAGCATTGTAAAAAATCTTAAGTTAAAAACTGGTGCTAAAAGTTTGTTGATGTTAAGGATTTCAAAATTAAAATTTTACTTGAAATTGCACTGGGAAAATACTTTGATCCTCATTGACTTTGAGTAACATTTTACAGGTGAGTAAAAAATTGACGTAAGTGAAGACCTAATATTTGGTGCTTTGGCCGGTGCATAAGTGCATGCGTATCGCTCTTGATATAGGTTGATACGATATACAATTTGAGTCGGTGTTGGTATGCTATAAAGCTTTAAAAAATAAAATAAGAAATATTAATTAATAAACTAGTGTACTAATGACGGACAGTATTCAATATCAAAAGTTTCTATAACAATACAAAAACAGCAAATGCAAAGTCATAATGTTTGAATAAATTTGATGACGTTGCATGCAGGATGTGTAACAAAAATATTACAAAGAATTGTTTTACAGTAATATTACAA